CTAATAAAAAAACAGTAATGTTTGCTGATGACATTTCTTTTTTCTGTCTAGTAATAATATCATAACACTATTTAATGAAATGAACATGGAGCTAATTAAAATTTCAAAATGGTTTAAGTCAAATAAGTTATCAATAAGCATTGAAAAACTAAATGGACTCTATTTCATCCAAAATCCAAAAAATATCTTTTGCCAAACGACATGCCTCAAATATATATAGATGATATTCAAATAAAACAATCAAAAGTTATACTTTTTCTTGATGTTCTTATTGATGAAAATCTCACATGGAAATCATATTGAAACCTTACGCAACAAAGTTTCAAAAAATCTTGGAATGTTATACAAAGTGAGAAATTTTGTAAATAAATATGCATTAATTCAACTTTATTACTCACTTATTCAATGCCATGTAAATTATGAAAAATATTGCATGGGGTAGTGCTAAAAAAAGTCGTTTAGATCCTCTTTATCGGCAACAAAAGCATTTAGCAAGACTAATAAACTTTAAAGATCGTTTGACAAATGCAAAACCTCTTTAATTTGAAATAAAAATACTAAATATATACCAATTAAATGTTTTTAATGATCTTTGTTTGATATTCAAATGTAAAATAAACTTAACCCATATATATTTTCAAAATTTATATACAATAAAGCCCGAAAACAAATATGATCTAAGAAATGAAAATTTCATCTACATTATAATAATAATGAACTTAACCCTTTTAGTAGTGTTCTTTCGAGCACGTTTGACACAAAACCCATGGCAGCCATTTTAACCGAGGTTATGGCGAGGACGAGTCTCCAATTTTTTTTTTTAAAAAAAACGTGAACAAAAGTGTATGCAAATATTTAACTTACGTTAACTTGAAATTACGAAATGTTAAAACATACAAAAACATATATCAAGTTTTACAGTTTTTCTTTCACTTGAAAACTGCATTGCAGCAACATCTCCTTAAATTTTAATTGATTGCCGTTTTATGAAGTCTTTGGTTAAGTATATATTTTTAAAATTTTCAAAAGTAGTTGTGTTGGCGTAGCTTAGTGGTCAGCTCACTGAGCTTCTAATCAGAAGTGCCGTGGTACGATCCCTACCACTGGCGTGTATTTAAATCTTTTTTGATTTTTCTAAAAAAGTAGATTACATATTATAAAAAAGTAGATTATATACTTAACACATGTAAAAATATTTCACACTTTAGCAAATGAAAGGATAAGAATTTTTTAAAAAGCTTAACTGTTCTAAAAACGTCAAAAAACAAAACAAATTTGGAGCGCGTTTAATGATAGAGATACTTATGTTATTAATGTGCTCAGGTATTTAGTCCTTATAAGCTGCGGGCGGTCTGAAAAAAAATTTCGTCAGGAGCTTAATAATTAAAATAGTTTAATGAGACAGTTTTACTACTCAAGAAAGTGCTGCTGTGGAGGCAAATCAAAAAACAAAAAAACGAAAAGCAGTGGTAACAGGTAATGTAATTGCATACTTATACAGTTTTATGGGTGTTATGTATATTCAAACTTAAACATTACATTACATGATGTTTCTGTGCAGTTTCTAGATGGTTAAGTATATGTTAATTTAATCATTACATTATGTTGTTTTTTTTATTTATTACTTTTTTTTTTCTCCACAGCAATGGCTTCAACAGTGGCAACAGGTAATGTGTTTTGTATACTTATCCAGTTTTATGGGTGTTATTTATATTCAAACTTAAACCTTACATTTCTTGATGTTTCTATGCTGTTTCTTGATGGTTAAATATATGTTAATTTAATCATTACATTATGTTGTTTATTTTTTTAAATTTTTTTTATTTGCCTCAACAGCAATGGCAAAAGGTAATGTGTATTGCATACTAATGCAGTTTTATGGGTGTTATGCATGTTCAAGCTTAAACATTACATTGCTTGATGTTTTACTGCAGTTTCCTGATGATTAAATAAATGTTAATGTAATTATTTTTTTCTTGCCATAACAGCAACATCTTCAGCATTGGCAACAGGTAATGTGTTTTACATACTTATGCACTTCTAAGGCTGTTATGTATATTCAAACTTAAATATTACATTCCATAATGTTTCTGTGCAGTTTCTTTATGGTTAAATATATGTTTATTTAATCATTACATTATGTTGTTTAATATTTTTATTATTATTTTTTTTGTGTTTTTTTCCTACAACAACGACTTCAACAGTGGCAACAACTAATGTATTTTGCATACTTATGCAGTTTTATGGGTGTTAAGTATAATCAAAATTAAAAATTATCTTTCTTGATGTTTCTATGCAGTTTCTTGTTGCTTAAACAAATTTTAATTTAAACATGTTATTTTTATTTTTGCCTCATAACAACGTCTTTAGCTGTAACAATAGGTAATGTATTTTGCCTGCTTATGCAGTTTTATGGGTATTATGTATATTCAAGTTAAAACATTATATTTATTGATGTTTCTATGCAGTTTTTTGAAAGTTACATATATGTTAATTTATACATTACATAATGTTATTTATTTAATTGATTTTTTGCCTCCACAGCAACGACTTCAGCAGTAGCAACAGGTAACGTGTTTTGCATACTTATGCAGTTTTATGGGTATTATGTATCTTCAAATTTAAACATTACATTTATTGATGTTTCTTTACAGTTTCATGATGGTTACGTATATGTTAGTTTAAACATTATGTTATTAATTTTGTTTTTTTTTTGCCTTCAGAGCAACACCTTCAACAGTGAAAACAGGTAAGGTGTTTTGCATAATTATGCGCTTAACTTATGTTAAATATATGTTAATTTAAATATTACAAGTTGTTGTATGTAGTATGTACAATAGAGATGGCTCTTTTGCTTACTTTTTTTTTACTTACACGAATAAGTTAATTTTTATGAAAAGTAAATTACATAAGTAATTTTGAACGTTTGATGTAAATTTACATTTCCGTGTAAGTAAATATTTTTTTAAAACAAATTTTACTTTATAATGTAAGTTTTTTTACTTTCAAAAGTAAATTATGTAAAAGATAATTATATCAAAAAGTAGTTTATTATTACATGTAAAAGCAAGTGACACGAAAATGCTGTTTACTTTCACATATAAAAAAAAATTACTTTACATAATATAATAGTTCCTCACACTGTAATTTAAATTTACCTATAAAAGTAACTAACAAAAAAAAAATTAAAATTAAAAAAAACCTAAATGTGAAAATAAATTACATAAAAGTAATATACTGCTAAATGTAAATTAAATTTACAAATGAAATAATATTTTTTAAAAAGGAAACTTTTATTTTAAAAGTAATGATAAATTTTTAATAAGAATAAATAATATAAAACAAAAGTTAAACTACATAAGCTTACATTTTATATAATTTGTAACCCAGTGGGCTGAAGAACGTTTTTTAACGTTTAAAAAAGGTTTAATGGTCGCTTAAGCGACGGTTGCATTATTAAAACGTTTGGAAAATGTTCAAAAAACGTTTTAATGAGAATTTTTTATCACTTAATTTATAATCTTACGGGACCTTTTAAGGCTGCAAATGGCGCACTGCGCATGTGCAGCATTACTAAAAAATGGAGTTTCTCTACAAACTTTAAAAAAATTTCTTAACGACGGTAAAGCAACTATTTTAAAGTAAAGAATACATTTATAAATTTTATGATAATTTATACAAAGATATATTGTCATACAAAAAAAACTTTAGATATATGTATGCATGTACATATATATATAAATATATATATATATATATATATATATATATATATATATATATATATATATATATATATATACATACATATATCATATATATACATATGTATATGTATATATATATATATACATATATATGCATATACATATGTATATATATAATATTATAATATATATAAAAAATATATATATATATTTATTATAATATAATATGTTTATATATATATGTTTAATATACTAAACAAGTTAAACTACCGTTCTTAATTATGACTAACAAGAAAGCAATCATAGTTACAAGGAAATGATCATTACAATAATACAAGGTAATGATTGAATTGAAAACAATTTCGAAATAAACTATTTTTGTTTAAAAAGTTTGCAGTGTTAAATTTTGAGGTTTTTTATATGTAAGTTATTGCTCAAAGCATATTTCCACCTGAGAGCAGATGAGACTTTACTAGCTAGACTAGAATATGTATACACACACACACACACACACACACACATATATAAACATATTTTTTTTAAATATACTTAAAAAGTACAAATATTCTCAATTATGAGCATTAAAGGTGCAGACATAGTCACAAGAAAATAAATATAAGGTAAAGTTGAGCTAAAAATATCTTAAAAATAAATCTTTTAACAAATGTATGAAGTTATTTCAATCTAGATTATTTCTGCTCCAAAAACTAATTGCTCTACATTATTTATACAACAAGATTTTCTACTAAAAACATTTTTTTTTCAGGATTTTTTTGGTAATTTGTACATAATAGTTTTAGATTTCAAAGTTTCAAAAAACATGTTTTTTCTTATATTTAGTTATTATGCAAACCTTTTAAAAAGATTTTTAATTTAGTGTTTTATCTTGTTATAAACTAATTACTTCAATTTAAGTCTAGAAGTGCAGTTATTTGTATTTGTTTTTAATATTAATATTTAGATGAAACAGCGCAACATATTACAGTTGTTTGCGAGAGAAAAGAGATTTACCAAAAAGCATCACTAGAATTTATTGTTATGACGAACTGTAATCAAGTTTTAAGCCTATGGTGGAACATGTATATAAATAAATGTTGACTTTTTATATTTTAAAAGAGGTTATGGTATACCTTTCAATAAATATCATAACAATTTTTCATTTGTATTTTATTTTGTTCTAGTTTTTTATTTTTTTTATTTTATAGATTTTCTACATGCAATACAAGTAGAAAATCTATAAAATAAAACTACAAGTCTTGGAAAAAAGTTTAAGACCACTTGCGAAAAACTGAAAATTTAATGAAAAAATTATTACAGTACAAAAAAATTGGTTTAAAAATAAAAAATGAATGCATTAAAATAATGTCCACATCAGCTAAAATCAAAAGTAGCACCAAGTTATAGAACCAAAATTATAAAAAGTACAAAACAATATCAAAACACAAGTATTTTGCTGAACCGCCCTTGTTCGCAATGACAGCTGCCAAACGTTTCTTCATTGAAGTAGCATAATTCCTGCACACTTCAGGGGTTATTTCTGTCACCCACACTTTTTTAATAACTTCTTTTAAGTCAGTAAGGCTTCCAGGCTGCTTTTATGATACTCGAATTTTTATCATGTTCCAAAAATTCTCTATCGGGTTAAGGTCGCGTGAATTGCCGGGCCAATCTAACACGTCAATTCGACTCTCCTGAAACCATTTCTTACATACCTTAGCTGTATGGAATGAAGCAGAGTCCTGCATAAAGTGAGTGCATTGCAAGATTATCAAAAAGTTGGGTAGTTTTGATTTTAAGATACGCAAATATCTGGCAGCATTCATGCGTTTTCCCATTACTAAAAACTCTATCGCACCACGACCATTTCCACTGAAACAACCCCAAATCATAACAGACGGTGGATGTTTCATCGTTTTCAAAGTATATTTGTCATCAGAAGGTTTTCGGCTTGGTCTTCTAACTTGTTTTGCAGTTATTCCAAACTGATCAAAGGTAGATTCATCTGACCGGAGAACCTTCATCCAATTTTCCTCTGTCCAATCTCGATATTTCAGAGCAAACTTCAATCATTTTTCTTTCATTTCTGGTGTCAATCTTGGTTTCTTTGCTGGACGATAGGACTTGAGGCCACATTCTATCAACCTATTTCTTATAGTTCTGGAAGAAATATTTACATTGCTGACATCGATGAGCATTTTCCGAATAGTCGCTGAACTAATAAATGGATTGTTCGTAACTATTCTGCGAATGCTTCGATTTTCTTTTGGGGTGGTCTTCTTTGGCCGTGTTCTCTGCTTGTCAGTGAACAATTTTGTTTCATTGAAACATTTTATTGCACTGTTTACAGCAGTTTTAGAAGTCTTTAACAATGCTGCAATCTTTCTTTCGCTTCGCCCAGCTCGGCTGTACGCGACAATCTGTGCCCGTTTTGTTGGTGATAAATTTTTTGCTTTGCCCATTTCTTATGCAATCTTAAAAACAAGAACAAGGTGCGTTTTTAAACAGAAATAAAACAAAAGAAGGAAAAAACAGACAAATTTTAATTTATAATACATAATATTTTCATTATTATTACGCTCTTTAACATTACGCACAAAAGCGCCTGAATTACAATAAAATACTGTAAATATAAAATAATTTATTTAAAGTTGTTTATATAATTTAATTCTTAATATTAACCGAAATATGCTTTAATTCATTATGTTGCTAAGGGCAACAAGCAGCTTGCAATTTAAGAAATATAAGCAGTTTTCTAATACAAAATTACTTTAAAATAGCATTAAATATTACACAAAAATTTCATCTTCTTACCTAGATAAAAATGGTTTCCGCAAAATTGAACACCTATTAGTTACAGAAATTGACCAGCAATAATTGGGAAATTGTGTTAACCCAGTGGACAAGGAACGCAAAAAAGACGTCTTTTAAACGTCTTTTGAACGTTTCGGACGTCTTTTGAACGTTCAAATGACGTCTTTTTTAGGTCTCGTGCCTACTGGGAACTAGCTATGGTTGCCAAATAAAAACTTATATACGCTCAATTTTATTTTAGGCACCAAAGTATAGCATTTATACGTGGTGGTCTTAAACGTTTTTCCAAGACTGTATATATATATAATTATATATATATATATATATATATATATATATATATATATATATATATATATATATATATATATATATATATATATACATATATATATATAATTATATATATATACATATATATATATATATATATATATATATATATATATATATATATATATATATATATATATATATATATATATATATATATATATATATATATATATATATATATATATATATATATATATATATATATATATATATATATATATATTATGTGAGTGTATTCTACAAATACAATGCTCAATGTTCTTAAAGAACAGAGCAATAATAAATTAGTAAAAGCACATCAAATATTTTTCTTCAACAATTTGTTTCGCCATAAGATGGCTCATTAGGAAGCTGTACTTATATATACTTTTTAAAAATTTACATTACTTATTTCTAATTATTAGTTTTTTACATTTTGAAACACTTTTTTAATTAAGAGTCAGTTATCGATTTTACCAGTTTTATATTTATAATAGTTTTAATCTAAATTAACGTTTAGAATTTCAACTGAGTATAGATATGTTTTTTTATAACACCCTTTACATGTACTAGTTGGAATCCAAGTTGGAATATGTACTAGATTTCTATAGTTTTTGATTTTAGAAACATTAGTGTCGCATACAACAAAATTCGATTTTGTAGATAAGTGGAGATCATTTGACCTCTTAATAGAGTAGCATAACAATTTTTTTATTACATTTTTGTATGCTTACATTATAAATTTATGATTTTTTGTTTTTGTATGCTTATATTAAAAATAAACAGAAAATAAAACTTTTAGAAATTTATTAAATTATCCGGACCAAGGCTATTGGACCTAAATATTCATTTGTAGAAGATATTTTTTCTGTATAACATAAGTTATTTACTTAAATAACTTATACCTAAAATCGATTTTTAGGGCATATGTTGAAAACGTTAGAACGCTTTATTTAGACATAATAAAAACCAATAAAAAACGTTTTAGAGAGGCCCTTTAAAAACGTTTTTAGAAAAACGTCCGGTCACCGCTTTATTTGGACGTTCAAAAAACCATCGAAAGACGTATTTACGGGACCATTAAAAAACGTTTATAAAACGTTTCTAAGCCCGTTCTCTATTCAGAATTTTTTGCGCTTTGGAGAAAATTTCCGCGCGGAAAAGTTCTTTGAGCATGCGCAAACAGTGTTAATATTTTAATTAACACTGTTTTGGTATGCTCAAAGAAATTTCCGCGCGGAAATTTCCTCCAAAGAGCGAATGAAGAACGGGCTTTAGGAAAACGTCCGCTCACCGTTCTATATGGACTTTCAAAAAACCATTAAAAAACTTTTTTACTAGACCATTAAAAAACGTTTGCGAAACGTTTTTGTGCCCAGTGGAAAAGTAAATTAAAAGTAATCTATATAAAATAAGAAAATTTACTAATAATCTATAATAACTTTGAGAGGATCTTCTACAATAGTAATGCAAACAAGTACCCAGTGGGCTCAAGAACGTTTTTTAAACGTTTAAAAAACGTTTAAGGGTTCCTTGAGTGACGGTTGCATTAATAAAACGTTTGAAAAACGTTCAAAAACCATTTTATTGAAAAGTTTTATTCATTTGATTTCCCACCCGCTGGGCACAAGAACGTTTTTTAAAATTTAATAAAAGATTAATGGTCACTTCAGCGACAGTTGCATTAATAAAACGTTTGGAAAACATTCAAAAATGGTTTTAAGTGGAACTTTTATAATTTGATTTATTACTTCACGGGACCTTTTACGGCTGTAAATGGCGCACTGCGCATATGCAGCATTACTAAAAAATGGAGAAACTTATAACAAAGTCGTATATATATATATATATATATATATATATATATATATATATATATATATATATATATATATATGTATATATGTATTACAATTTAATACATATATATGTATATATGTATTAAATTGTAAAACGTTGTAATCCTCATAACGCCTCGTAAAAAATTTAAAACCTTTGCTTATATGAGAAATTCCTTATATTTACATAGAAAGGTGATAACTTGCTAAATAAACGAAATGAGTTGATTTCGAAATGAAGGCACAGGAATAAATTCCTTTTATCTTTTTTGACACCAGTGATTAGCAAATATTTTGATTTTTGTTTTTTTATTTGGTTGTCATCAAGAATGTCTTAGCCACGTGAAGATACCAATATACAGTATTTTATAATTTATAGCAGTAATGTTGTTTTTGATTTTGTATTCAATCATTTTTGTATTATTTTCTTCGTTAATATATATATATATATATATATATATATATATATATATATATATATATATATATATATATATATATATATATATATATATATATATATATATATATATATATATATATATATCTAACCAAGTCAGTGCGTATCACAATCACGGACGCCTTTCGTCCATTGGGGCTCATCAGCGTGATGATGTGATACCGAAGGTGTGTAAACACACCAGCTCACCTTTTTGGCAGATCAATGATACTTGTGGTATCATTGATCATACAATCCTACACAGAATTGTATAAAATTCTGTGTAGGATTGTAGCAAATTGTATACAATTCTGTGTAGGATTGTAGCACTACAAGTATCATTGATCTGCCAAGAAGGTGAGCTGGTGTGTTTACACACCTTCGGTATCATATCATCACGCTGATGAGCCCCAAAGGACGAAAGGCGTCCGTGATTGTGATACGCACTGACTTGGTTAGACAATGATACTCTGTATTGATATATATTTATATATATATATATATATATATATATATATATATATATATATATATATATATATATATATATATATATATATATATATATATATATATATATATATATATATTATTTTTAAACATCAAGAAATACAGTTTCTCTCTAATACTAATAAATTACTTATTTAAGAAATTTTCTCTGGGTTATGGATATCAGCATCATCAGCTTATTAAATATTACAATATTTTTTAACCGTTATATTTTCTATAAAAAATTGTTACTATTGACGTCAGCGGTTGAATGGCTTCTTTTGCTTAAAAATTTAAAAAATGGCGTCCAAAACATAGTTTTAACATACTGGCCTTCATCAAGATTAATCCGCCGTTTCGCGCAGAGCACATGTTTTTTTATATTTTTTGTGCCTCCCTAATTTTTCTCTCAAACTTTTTATTTTCTACCTTTAATGTTCTTGTTTTTTCCCAAATAATATTTTCTTCGCAAAAGGTTTTGTGAAATAATAATGCAGATTGATAAGATCTCCCCTCTTCATTTTTCTTTTGATGTTGATGCATCCGCGTATTTACCTGCATTTTTGTTTCACCTATGTAAACTTTGGAACAGTTGCATTTTATTATATAGATTCCAGGCTGGCTGTTGTAAGGTAGTCTTGATTTGTTTTTTGATGTTAATAAAGATCTTAAATTTGGGTTTGATTTAAATACTGCTCTGTATCCTACTTTTCAGAATATTTTCGAAGTTTTGGTGAAAGGCCCGGAATCCATGGTTAAGGCACTACAGGAAAATCATTGCATTTTCATGGAATTGTGTTTTAATTTTTTATTTTTTGATGAAATCGGTTTGTAATATTTCTCAATTGCTTTTCATTGTACCCATTTTCAATAAACATGGCAGTTAAAGAAATCCTTTAAAGATAGCCGTTAAAATATTCGGATCGTGATTTGAATGTGGTTTAATTTGAATATTAGTGATTGCCTCTTTTCGATATACTTTGTACTCATATTTTCCTTATGTGTTATTTATAATGGTTAAATCGAGAATGTTAAGCGTTTTTGTTTCGCTTTCAACTATAATTGTATATTGTATAGCAGGATGTTGTTGATTTAAAATGTCTTGGAATTGTTTTGCTTGTTTGATGTTAGGAAATCTTGCATGACTATCGTCAACGTATCGTAAAAATGATTTTAGATTAAGTGTAAGATTTATTGTCAAAGCCATTTTTATTGCATTATTTTCATGAAATTGTAAAAAAGATTCCGCAAGAACCACCATGAAAGATAGTCCGATTGGGTCTAATAAGCTGATGATACTGGTATCCATAACCCAGCGAAAATTTTTTAAATAATTAATTTATTAGTATTGAGAGAAACTGTATTTCTTGATGTTTAAAAATTATATATAATATACTCTCATACAAGATGTCGTCTTTCAAATTGCTAATTACAGCTAAATACGGAGTTGAAATCTTCAAAAGAACTGAACAATTACAATCATTAAAAAAATCTGTTGCTAAATCGAAAAATTAATACATTTTTTTACAAAAATGCGAAAAACATAAATTTTTTCCGAAGTCGTTACGAATCAACTCTC